GGGGGTAATCTCAATCATCTAGAAGCTTTAAGAGGTGGAATATTCTAGTTCACTGAACGTTCTTAGCAATTTAGTACGAATCAAAAATCTCTTTTTGTTGGGACTTTAAAACTGGAAATGCTTCTGAAATGTTGAATTTCTTATCTCAGCAAGAACAGTGGAATGATGGAGCTGGTACCCTGTTTTGGTGATCTGGGACTCTGCAGGGCCTGAGGCTTGGTTCTCTACATTGACGATCATTATTTACACTGCCTCTGTTAAAGGCAATACCAATAATGCCCTTGAAGGTAATTAATCTATTTGTACTGTAATTTAAAGTTGATTAAGTACATGACCTTATGAATTTGACCTGAATAATCAGGGCTCCTCTAAGAGAAAGAGAACAAGGACTCGATGATGGTTGGCTGGAGGATGGCAAGTCCCCAGGAAACTCCAAAGGCTTGAAATTAGTGCTTGAAGGACTATTGGGTCTGCCTATGGTTGGATACCAGGATGGGAAGGCAGTTAAGCCCAACAAGGAAATAAAGGTGTCTGCTCATCTCACAATATCATGTTCTCAGACAGGGTCAATATCAGAGAGACCTTGTCTTCTCAGCACTAAGAGCAATGCCTGGCCCACCTGGTAGGTGCTTGATACTAATTTGACAGATGAAGGGCGGCCTCCATTCAATCCATTCTGTGCAAATGTCCTCTGGTTACCATTCTCTGACCACCACCCATCCGCTGTCTATCCCTCTCTCCATCTAGTGTTTATGTGGTTATTATATAAGAGGTGCTAAACCACGGGCGGACTCAATGGTAAGTAAGATACAGCCCCTTATGAAGAGTCAATCACCCCTCTGTTTCAGTGGACTTTTTAAAGGAAGGGGGGTGCTAAGTGGTGGGCTTTGCAGAGTGGCCTGAGCACAAAGGGCAGTCTCATGTGCCTTCACTACTCTACAGACTGTGCCTTTGGAAAATCCTAATTACTGCTCCCACTAAAGACTCACAGTCTGTGTGCTTCTGAAAGGAAACTTCCGTCTTCCTGTCCAGATGTGGTGTAGGCACTGGTCATTGCTTGAGCAGGACAATGGGCTAGCTCCACTGATGATTCCATCTGAAATGGTTTTGCCCTGCTTGTTTCCTGGGTAACGAACCAAACTAAAGTTTCTTCCAACCCTTCCCATTCTTCCTCATCCCATCTCATGCTCTTTCTGCTCTGAGCAAGAGGGCAAGTGGGAAGGTCTGGGGTCATGTCAAGTCTGTATTTTCCTGGATGGTAGGAACTTGCAGCATGGAAGACAAATTCGGGGCAGTTGGTGAGAATATTCACATCAGGAGAAGTAAGACTTTCTCTGTCCATCATCCCCACCATGCCCCACTCCTCCAATTTTCTCTTGCAGCATTTCAGAGTAAGAGACACTACTCCTCCCTACCATCAATTCAAAGAAAAGACTATAAATAAAGGGCACACACACACACACACAAAAGGATCCTGGAAATTGTTCTTCCTCAAAGAGTAACATGACTACTTAGCCTAGAATACACAGAAGCCCCCTACTCTAGAGGGTGATCAGGAGGTTGGAAACTTGGAAGAACCATTCTTTACTACTACTAGGTTTAGCCTCTGTTTTTGCTTGAATTATATATATGTATTTAAAGAACCCCAAAGTCTTGTTTCCTTTACACTGTGCTTTTCTCTAAGCGCAAATCTCTAATTTGGTGACATTCAGACCCAGACCTTCACATCATATGTGGCATTATAATCCGCAATGTGCTTTTCGAGAACATTTCTTTCTGCACCAGGTCACAATGGCCACATTACACTCTAGGCATAGTGCAGTCACATAATCCTTGGTTGTAGTGACTGTACCTGCTGTTTCCAAAGTCCTAGAACTGACAGCACCACTTTGATTCTGATTCATCCCCACAGTGTTTATGTGAGGAGGGCAGAAGTCATGATCCCCACTTTATAGGTGGGGAAACCAAGGCACACAGAGGTGATCTACCCAAAGTCACTCAGGAAGTCAGAAAACAAACTGACTACAGAGCCAAGTAAGATCACCTTTCAGCGCCTTGTCCAAAAAAAAAAAAAAAAATCCAAACAGATTGTATCCTTCTCAAACGAATGTGTATACCTTGGAAGGAAGTGGTTTTAGGTGGAACTTCCTAGTAAAGTCTCAGAGTCTCCTCTGTCAAATCAGGAACCACCAGTTAAGAACCAGTATCACATTCACATTTTAGTTAAATACCCTTGACTCACCGACAATGCTGATTATTATAGCTCACTGACAACCTGGTTACCGACATGAAAATTCGAGGAAAACTTCATCCATTCAAGAAATAAGCCTTGGCACAGCTCCTTTCCTGGTTTCACAGCATCTGATGTGTAACAGCCAAGCACTGCTTCCTTCTACACAATACTCCTGTACCTGTTGGCATTTCACTGGGGTCGGGGGCGGGGGTGGGGAGTCGCTAACAGAATGTGTGCATGTGTGCGCATGTGAGTATGACACCAGACACTTTAGGGACAATTCTGCCCAACAGGATATACATGAACTATGTCTAATACAATATTTCTCTACCCTGATTCTTCTTCTTTTTTGGTAACTTTTATCTCTTGATCCTGTTCATGTAGAAAGTAATGTTTTACTCCCCACCTTCCTTGATGAAGGTAGAGTCCTTGGGAGGACATGCCTGGGGGCTGATTTCAGCTTCGTGGAAGGAAGCACTTGAAGGGTGAAAGTTGCCGGAAGACAACTGAACGGGACTTTTTGGACCAGAAAGTGTCTTGCATGTATTTTCCCCCAGAGGATAAATGACCACCTGTCCGTGACACATGGCCAGGAATCCATACTCCTGGAAACAAACTAGGCCAGCAGCAGTCCTCCTGCCTCCCAACTCCAGGTCAAGAAAGGCACAAAGAAGACCAACAAATAATACCGAAGCGGTGCTTTGGATCTGGGAGGCCTTGAGGTACCAGGAGAAAGAAGAGTACTGATGGCCCCATCTGGACGATGGGGAGGTGAGGCACGGAGAGACTGACTTTATACTTTCAGTCCTAGGGGAGAGGGAACCAGGAATGTCTGGTAGGGGTGGATCCTCTTTTTCCTCATTCGGGGAAGGAGAGGAGAGGAAGATACACTGTCAAACCATAGTGAGCATGACCCTCATGGCAAAGAGGCAAATTCCAGCTCTTCTGCCCACACAGTAAAGTAAATGCCCTCAGATGATCCCTTCACATAGGGAACACGACACCCCAAACTCTCTGGGGCCCAGTCTTGGGACTGCATCCAGGGCTGGAGATTGAGGCAGAATCGGCCTGGGCAGGCACATAGGTAGCTCTGCTTCTTAAGGCATGGATGCTGTCTGCCAGGAGTGGGCCCCACACTGGGAGGTGGCCATCAGACACTACCTCCCCTGAAAATACCCTGCAAGAAAGCTCAGTGGGGTGGAACACTGCTGCCTAAGGAATCCACATCCCTGGGCTGGGGGCTTCCACTAAAGCTAAACAGCATCACCAAACCTGTGTCAACTAGGAACATAAGGAAGACGAAAAATCCAAACTGATCATTACTGGCAGATGATTGTCTAACTAGAGAATCTAGGGGAAACAACAGAAAACCTAGCAGAACTAAGACCACAGTTTGCACAAGTGGCAGATTAAAAGTCTAGTATACAAAAGTCAATAGCTTTTCGGTCACTTGAGGGTGGTGTAATACCTTGGAAGAGCTGTGCTTTTCTGCGAGGCCTCCAAGCGCTGTGCAACTTGCCACATTTTAAAAGATGGAGGGGAGCCAAGGAGATGCCTCCTATGCTGCAATCTGTGCAGACACCTCAGATACCAAGTTTGTGAAGATGCCTGGGGTGACTGCTGCAGGAGGGGGCAGTCACTTCTGCACTGTCTCCTTGCCCCCTCCCCCCGCCCCCACTCTCGACCCAGCCCCTTTCTCCCAGCTCTTTTCCTTTCCAACTCAACAGACACATTGGGAACCTTGGCAAGGGCCAGGGTGGGAGCCAAGAAGGTGGGATGTGGTGGAAGATTGTGCTATGTCATTTCCAAACAAAGCCGATTTTTAAAAACAAAGGCGGCGGACTGACGGGTCTCATACATCAGTCCTCTCATCGCCTCACTGGTTAGAAGCCTGGCGACGCCACGGTGCTGTGCCCCGACTGGCGATTCCCACGGTCCGGACAAAATGGCCAAAAGGGGCGCCACGGGGCTGAGCGTGGCAGTCTAGCCCGCGCACTGCGGCGGTCATTTACGGTCCAGGTTGGCGTGCAGCTGGGCCTCGCGCACCATGCGATCGAAGGAGCGCGTGTTGGTCTCCTGGCGCACCTTCTCGCGCACGTGGAAGGAGGCGCGGGCTGTGGAGCGAGCGCTCTCCAGCGCGCTGCGCCGCTCCCGAGACAGCTGCTCGCTGCGCTCCAGCTTGCGACCGATGGCTTGGAGCAGCTCCCGCCGGCGGCAGTCTTCGTCCCTCTCCACCTTCTCCTTGTTGGCGCGCTGGGCCCGCTCCTTCTCCATCCGGCTCTGGCCCACGCGCCGCGCCTTCTGCTGCACCGCCTCCTCGGCCGCCTGCGCCGCGTGCTGCAGCCGCCGCTCGCCTGCCCGGGCCAGCGCCTCCAGGTGCGCCTGATGCTCCCGCTCCTTGCGCTCAGCAGCCTCCTTGGCCCGCCGGCCCTGCAGCTCCTCCCGCCTTGCCCTTTCGCGCAGCTCCCGGGTGCGCTGCTCCACCAACTGCTCGTAGTTCTCCTGCGCGCGTCCCAAGCTGGCCTCCAGGGAGCTCCGCAGGCCCTCGCGCTCCTGGCGTTCCTGCCGGGCCCGACCTTTCAGCAACGCCTCGTGGCGCGCCCGCTCCGCCCTGCTGAGCTCCCGCTTCTCCCGCTGCAACTGGCCCTCCTGCTGCTGCTTGACCTGGGCCGCGCGCTTAGCGCGCTCCCTGCGGACCTGCTCGGCCCGCTCGCGCACCTCCTGCAGGCCCTCCTCCCGCTGCTTCAGGTTCTGTTCCTGCTGCAGCTTGCGCTGCCGGTCCTCCCGGGCCGCGCGCTCCGCTCGCTCTCGCCGCAGCAGTCCCTGGCGCTCGGCCAGCTCCCGCCGCCGCTCCTCGCTGCGCTCGCACTGCCGCTGCCGGCGCCGCGCCTCCTCGCGTTCCTCGCGACCTCGTCGCTCGCGCCGCTCCAGTCCCTGCGCCGCCCAGGCCCGCCGCCGCCGCTCCTCGCTGCGC